GGCGCCCTCCGACGCCGAGGCGGGCGCCGGCGCGCCGCGGCGCGCCGAGGAGGAGCCCTGCCGCAGCCGGGGTGGGGGGACTTTGTCGGCCGCGCGCAGGGGGGTGTGAGGGGAGGGGGGAGGGCATCCTAGAAGCGTTCCTGCTGCTCGGAGGGGGCGCGGGCCTGATCTACACAGAGACGTGAGGCAGGCGCCCTCTAGAAGAAGCAGCGCCTCCTTCTAAGAAGCCCCCCCCCTCCCTCCACCCCCTTGTGCGCACCGCCAAGAGGAGGAGCTTCGCCGCAGCCGGGGGCGGGTGGGGAGGCGGACTTCGGATCCGCCGAGCTTTGGTCGAGGCCCGCTCTCCGATCGGCGCGTGCCGTCGAGCGTGGATGTCTACGCTGCTGTTCGTGATTCGGGGGGGACCTCGACCGAAGCTCCGCGGATCCGCAGTCTCCCCCTCGAGCCCCCGCGGTCTGCGGCCGCCCCCTGCTGGCGCTGCTGCCCCTGGCATGGGTAGGATGATAAGCGATAGCGCAGTATCCGTAAGCCTTTGGGAGGGGGCCGAACTACGTGCAGCTTTAAGTCGTGCCTGTCCCCTTACAGGGGGATTTCCGGTGAAAAATAAAACATACCCCCAAAATATTCAAAAATAATAAAAAGATAGTCTGGGGACTATTTTTTGAGTATGATTTGATCTTTTTGGTGCATTTTGGAGGTATTTTTATTTTTCGTCGAAAATCCCCCTGTAGGGGAGCAGGCCCGACCTAAGTGCAGCTCAGACTCCCGCTTGGGCCCCTGAGGGCCTCGTCAACGTGCATCAGATTTAGACAAGTCGGGACCAGACACATCTTCCTCTGGCGTGGAATTTGCCTCGGGGGGCAGTTGATCTGAGGTTTCCTCCTCGGCCTGGGGGGGGTTGCTGCGCTAAAGCTAAGACGTGCCAGGTTGAGCTAAGCCACGCTACCCTCAAACACATTACGTTTTTTTTGGTTTCAGATGTATCAAGCCGAGTCGCCGGTCGGCGCGGATATCTTGGGCTCGGCCTTGGGCACCCTTGGCGGCGCCTCTGGCGCCGCCCATTGCGCGCTCCGCGCGCCAGGGGAAGGTGGTTGCGCGCGGATCCAGGACATTGGCGCGGACCTTCAACAGTTCATGTTTAGGCGTTGAGTTGTTCCGCTGTTCTCTCCAATCTTCGATAAGAATGGAGCCCCTGACGTTAATAACACGATTAAGACGTGCATTAGGGAGGATAGTTCTGGGCGGAAAGGTTTGATGCATCGGCTGAAGCGGCCCGCTATCCCTCATTTGTTCTCCTCTGGATGGGTTGGGGGTCAAGGCAAGCGGTGCCCAAACAGAGCGCTGGATCTTGCAGGATCCTGCAGAGCCAGGATTGCCCTGGCCTGGCTTGGTCTACAGGATCCTGCAGGATTATGTACGATCCTTCACAGCCCGTTTGGCCCGGGTTTGCATTGACCCTGGTCAGTGTGTCCCCGAATTTTGGCCAAGGCCCTCTCCCGGCGGCGAGCGAGGGGGGGGGGGAAGGGAGAAGGGGCGGGCCTTCTCAGAAGTCTCGGAAGCCCCCCGGCCTTTGAGAAGTTTGCCCAGATTTCCTCGACGACAGGGAAGCCTCTCAGAAGGCTCGAGGGCTTTGAGAAGTCCCGCCGCCTCCTGAGAACCTTCTCCTTCTCACTTCCCCCCTCCTCCTCCCCCTCCTCCCCCTCCTCCTCCTCCTCCTCCTCCTCCTCCTCGCCGCCGCCAACTCTCCCCACGCTCTGAGAAGTCCCGCCGCCTCCTGAGACGGCCTTCTCCTTCTCACTTCCCCCCTTCACAGCCTGGAACCTATCCCGATCCCTATGTTGGGCATCGCCTCGTCACCATGGCGATCTTAGGGATTTCATCAGTTTCTGAGGGTGCATCCCTAAGATTGTCAACGCCTTTCGGGGTGTCAATCTCAAGGATAGGGATAAGTTCCAGGCTGGTTAGAGACGGCCTTCTCCTTCCCACTTCCCCCCCTCGCTCGCCGCCAGCTCTCTCCAGCCCACGCCAGGGGCAGGCGCACAGGCTGGTGGCGTCTGCAGACCGCGGGGGTTGGGGGGGGGCGGGCTTCGGCTCCGCCGTGCTGCCTCCGTCGAGGCCCTCTTCGGGCGGGGCTTATGATGTTCCAACCTACTTTAGCCTTGATCACCACATCCGGGAGGCCCCCAAGGCGGCTGCGGGCCGGCGCGGCCTTCGGGTCCTTGGGCCGTCTGCTGGCCGTCTTGGACACCTCTCGGGCCCTCGTGGGGTCCCCCGTGGGCCGCCCGTGGGCTCCCGTGCGGGGCCCTCTCGGGCCGCCTGCGAGAGGCCCCGTGGACGGCGCCGCTCCGCCCGCCCGCCCGCGGGCTCCAGGCCCCGCCGCCGAGGACTTGGCACCGCTCGGACGTGTTGATGGGCAAGGGTTGTGATGTTCCAACCTAAGCCTTGACCACCAGGAAGACTTTCGAGCGCCCAAAAGAGTGCCGAAACTCAAGGGTTTGTACGTGTCGGGCCCTGGGAGACACTCGCCCGACACTGTTTCGACCCAGCTTCGGCACTCTTTTGACACTTTTCCGGGTGCTCGAAATTATTTCTGGGATGCGGTCCTTAAGTAGGATGGGAACAACATAAGGCGGGGCTTGACGGACATTGGTGAATCCGTGCCAGACTTCACTATCCTCTGCCAAAGTTCTAATCATAGTTCTGATCCTCACATCGTGCATATCATGCATAGCACCATCGATCTGGGACTCGTGCTCATCCAACTCCTCCAGACAGGCCCTGTGGGGCGGCTTCGTCAAATCACCTTGGAGGTCATTAAACACCGATCCAGACATCCCAACATCGATATCTCTGGGAAAATGTTGATCATCCTCCCAGGAGTCCGAACTTATCCCCATGGGATTGTTATCGCGGGCATGGGGTTCAACGAAGAACCACAGACTGCATAAACATTCGAGGTTCCGCGCGGAGTTCGTGGATCGGCGCTGGACCCCCCTGGCGCCGCCCCTGGCGCGCCCCTGGCGCGCCCGGGGAGGGGGGGCGCGGCTCAGCGCCGACCCAAGAACTCCGCGCGGACATCCACGAAATTACTCCAGATTTCGTAATAAAGGGAGGGGGTCTGGACCCTCCAAGACAAGCCATTTCAGACCTCCCCCGTGGGAGAACCCTCTAAAACATCGTCCCGAGACCCCCCCAGGCCCTCCAAGATAGCTTGGAAAAGACCCCCCCCGAAATGAGACCCCCCTCCCTTTATTACGAAATCTGGAGTATGTGTTATGCAGGTGTGGATTCCTCGATGCACGTGAGCGTGACTCTTCGCTGGAGTGGTCTCGTGGTGCGGGCTCACGGGTGAGCCACAAAGGACAGCGGGTTCGTCTTCGCCGACATTGGCGCGTAAGTTGAAGTTGCGCGCGTCAGCTCGCGCGTAAGTGCCCTCGTCTCCAGTGTGGTGTGCCGCACTGGCGTCCCGCGCAAGTCGCGGCGTAATGTCCTTCTGCCAACTCGCGTAAGACCCCCTTGCCTTCTGTGGCCCAGGTGCCCCTCGAGCGGGATCTGGACAGAAAGGGTCGGAGGATCGCGCAGCATCGCCCGTGCATCGGCGGTGCGGCTCGATGCAGAGCCCGATTTTCTCCACGCCGATTTCGCCGATGCATCGCCGACGTCGCGGATGCATCGCCGATGCATTGGCGATGCGACGCCATCATCCGTCTCCATCTACTCAGACCCCATTTGGGAGGCCTACTCTCGAAGCTCTCTTGGGCTGTCGTGTGCCTTCTTCGGTAGTCCTGGGGCTACGCCCTCCCCTCTTGGAGCGATCCCTGGGGCCTACTGGGGCCTACTGGGCCGTCGTGGGCGCTGCGGCCAAGCAGACGAGTAGACGAAAAGTACGGGACAGTGAACGTTCAGATTGTGAACTTCTCGAGGCCCTCTCGCGGGCGCTCTTGGAGCCGCTCTTGTGGTCCCCGTGGCCTCTTCGGGCCCTCTCGGGGCCGGGGGCCTCCTGGGACATCCCCGGGACGCCTCGTCAGTCTCCTGCCGTCCTCGCAGGCCGTCGCGGAGGCCCGCGCGTGGCCCAAAAAGGGGCCCCCCTCAGCGTGCAGGCAAAGGGCCCGCTGCACCCCCGGAGGCCCAAGAGGCTACCCAGGGGGGGGGGGGCCCGACTCGGGATCCCCCGTGCCTGGCCGCTCTGGCAGCCTCAAGGCTGTGCCGGAGACGCACCCCTTGGCATCGCTCGGACGTGTGCGTTTTTCCTTCGGCGAGGACCATTGATCATTTCGCGAAAAATAATGCACGAAACCGAACAAAACACAGGGAATGGACGTCCGAGCGATGGCGAGACCCGGGGGGGTCCTGACTCGGGATCCCCCGTGCCTGGCTGCTCTGGCGGCCTCAAGACTGTGCCAGAGGCGCACCCCAGGCGGTGCGAACGCACAGGGCAGAGGTGTTTTTTCCCTCGGCGGAGGAGTTGGGCGCATGCCTCCGCAGAGGTTTGGCGGAGACAGCGACGGCCGCGCAGAGCAGGGCGGGCACCGGCATCAGAGGTTCGGATGCAACTCCTGGTCCGACATCTGGCTTAATCCGGCTTAATCCTGCTTACTGCGGCTTAATCCCGCTGAATCCCGCTTACTCTGGCTTCATCCGAGGCCCCCCTCCGGCATAACAGCCCCCCAGTGGGGCGTAATTTTCCGTACTCTTTCCGGCGAACACCTCCCAGTGGCTGCCTCCTAACAGAGGAGCGCGAGAAGTAGGTTAGGGGGCCAACTGCGAACCCTACCCCTACCCCCCACGATTTCTGAGGGGGAGGGTGGGGTTCATTTCATTCGGGAGCTCCTGAACGAAGTTTGCATCCCCGCCCCCTCAGAAATCGTGGGGGGTAGGGGTAGGGTTCGCATGTGGCCCTCCTATAGGTGGAGAAGTCGGCCCCACGGGGTGGCATCGTCCCAGGCTGCGGCATCGTCCCAGGAGTCGGGCGGAGGCCTTCGCGGGGGCCTGCGCGGCTGGCCCGCGCGGAGGTCCGAGAATTTTTGTGTGTGTGTGCCGTTCCTTGTTCCCCTGCAGTGCTTGAGGCTGG